CCTGCCAGTTCCGGTGTATGTGGCTTGCACCCTAGCCGCTTGAGCTACAGGCACAGAGCCATAGGCCAAGAGTCTGAAATCAGCCTGAGCAAGAGGGAGATTTCATGTCCACCAAAAATAGAGAAAAACTAGCCAGGTGTAGAGGTATACATGTGTAGTCCCAGCTACTTAAGAGACTGAGACAGGAGAATTATGTGAGCCTAGAAGTTTGGAGTTGCATTGAGCTATGATGATGCCACTGTAATCTAGCCCCGGCAAAGGAGCAAGACTTTATCTAAAAGGGAAAAAAAGATTAAAATACTTGATAACAATAACAAGTATTTCAATTATTATCAGTTAAACTGGGAACAAATTTAACCAAAGTATGAGACTTTGACACTGAAAACTATAAAACATAGTTGAAAGAAATTAAATCAGATGTAAATAAATGGGAAAAACATCTCATTTTCATGAACTGCTAATCCTAAAATTTGTAAAGAAATGCAAAGGACCCAGAATAGCAAAAACAATCTTGAAAAGGAAGAATAAAGTTGGAGGATTCACACCTCCTGATTTCAGAAATCATTACATTTAGAAACCAGATATAGTGGTTCTGATTGCACAACACTGTGAATATACTAAATGATGCTGAATTATACACTTTATTTATTTACTTTGAGACAGACTCTTTCTTTATCACCTTCGGCAGAATACTATGGTGTTATTGCTCACAGAAACCTCAAACTCTTGGGCTCAAGCAATTCTCTTGCCTTAGCCTCCCAAGTAGCTGGGACTACAGGCGCCTGCCACAATGCCTGCCTATATTTTAGAGATGGGGTCTCACACTTGCTTAGGCTGGTCTCAAACCTGTGAGCTCAGGCAATCCACCCACCTCAGCATCCCAGAGCGCTAGGATTACAGGCAGGTAAGCCACCTCGACCAGCGTTATACACTTTAATTTTTGTAGAGATGAGGTCATGCTATTTTGGCCCAGATGGTCTTCAACTCCTGGCCTCAAGTGATCCTTTCCCCTTGGCCTCGCAAAGTACTCAGATTACAAGCATGAGCTGTCACACCTGGCCTTGAATTGTACACTTTAAAATCATTGATTCTGTTTTGTTAATTTTACCTTAATTTTTTTTTTTTTGAGACAAAGTCTCACTATGTCACCCTGGGTAGACTGCCATGGCATCACAGCTCACAGCAACGTCCAACTCTTGGGCTTAAGTGATTCTCTTGCCTCAGCCTCCCAAGTAGCTGGGACTATAGGCGCCCACCACAACACCCGGCTATTTTTGGTTGTAGTTGTCATTGTTTTTGGCAGGCCCAGGCTGGGTTCAACCCTGCCAGTTCCAGTATATGTGGCTGGCACCCTAGTCACAGAGCTACAGGCGCAGAGCCTTAATTTTTTTTTTTTTTTTTTTTTTAGAGACAGAGTCTCACTTTGTCTCCCTGGGTAGAATGCGTGGCATCACAGCTCACAGCAACCTCCAGCTCTTGGGTTAGCTGATTCTCTTGCCTCAGCCTCCCAAGTAGCTGGGACTACAGGTGCCCACCATAACGCCCAGCTATTTTTTGTTGCAGTTTGGCAGGGGCCAGGTTGGAAACTGCCACCCTCAGTATATGGGGCGGGCTGCCTACTCACTGAACCACAGGTGCCACCCAAGCCTTAATTTTTTTAATGTACTAAAAACTACAGTAATTCAGGCAGTGTGATGCTGGCATAAGCATAGACATATAAATTATTGGAATAAGACAAAATCCAGAAATAAACTTATACATGTATGGTCAATTAATTTTTGATAAGGGTGCCAAAGATCTTTCAGTGAGTGGAGAATAGTCTTTTCAATAAGTCACTGAACAACTGGCTATCCACATGCCAAAGAAAGAATTTCAACTCCTTCTTCACATCACATTCAAAAGTTAACGCAGGGCTGCACCTGTGGCTCACTGAGTAGGGC